AGCTTAAAATATCATCTTGTTGTGATGTTGGGTGCCAGAATCGACGTAATACAGCCTCAAATTAGAAATTTGATCGCATATCTGCTGCCACTGCCAGACAAACAAAACAACGACAGCTGTGGTTAAACGCGATAAAACGAGCAGACTGAACAGAAACGATCATAAAAATGCTCGCGTTTGCAGCGCACACTTCTTATCAGAAAAGGTTCAATAAAGTATTGTCTTTGTTATGGGCTACAGATTTCTTGCCATATGTCTATGTTTCTTGCATCTCACGACTATGTCCTGTATATGTCGTGTATGAAATAATGTCTGTGTGCATGTGTGTAAAACAGCAAACTGACGATTTATATATATTCATTTGTAATTGTATATACATTGTTGTGATTAATTGTGGCTGGAACAATAATGTAGCTGTAAAAATAGTTGCCTGCTGAAATTGAAATGTATATACATCTTCATCATGACTAAGTAAGATAGACATGGTGAGTTTGTCTTTACTATACACGTTAGATGTGTTCCATCTCATAGTAACAATCCTGTCAGATCGTTCATCCTTTGAGTGAGAGTGTAATGTTACAGGTCGGCCGACCTGGTTTCGTGGTTAAAGTTAACCTTTTCGACATGTTTCAGTGTTGTTGCTCAGCAATGGCATGGACGAGATGTTGTTTGGGGGTTTGGCAAAAGGAGAGTGAGACGGTGGGCGGTGCTCGGGGTGGTGACTGAAGGCGGTGACTGTGTAGTTCTGACGTCAACTTTTTACGGAAGTCACAACGGTTCGTGAAAAATCACAGCTACTTTATGCAGGCTGTGTGCATTTTACTGTGGACTGACTGTTTTGAAACTTATATGGTAGTTAAATAGCCCCTAGACCTCAGATATCATGAAAAAAGCCAGGACATTTCAGTTTTGACAATATGGGATCCTTAACTAAAAGTAGACAGTCTAATACCTTATGTGTTGAATCCTTCTTGGGATGTTTGGAGAGTTTCTTGGCAGGGTTGACACCCATCTTAGCCGATTTGAAGGACTCAAGGCGGCTTCTCATGGTTCTTTGGAAGATCTCCTGCATTTCATCTGGATTCTCTGAGGTGTTATAGTGACTGCGGCTGTAAGTGGGACGGTTCTGGTTAAAAACAGAAGAAATGGATTGATTTGGATGGAATGGGATTCAGATGAGCTTTTTCACTGGGCAGGTGTATTGTGATAAGATATCCAAATATTGATAAGAAAACAATATTCCATGTAAAGAAAAAAAAGGGACAAAAAAAAAGAATGGAATTATGGTTTGAGTGATCAGGACAGTTCTTACATCTCTTCTGCTCTTGTACAGATGCTGATCTAATAGATGATGGGCACTGAGCTTATCAGGCAAGCTCTTCCTGTCTTGCTCATGGATATCGAGGGATACAGATGGAATTGGGTTCTTCCTAGATTGAAAGAAGTCCAAATAATTGTAGTCAACATGCATTTAGCACAACACATTTAGCCATCTATATTTGTGCAATTTTCTCGTAAAACCTCATAAAACATGATCAACTGCATTGAGTTTCAAAAATTGTAACCACTTGACAAAATGCTTACATAACAGAGGTCACTGGAACATTGTCAATGCCAGTGATATAAGGCGTGATGTCTCCATACTCTAAAGCAAGCTTCTTCTTGAAGTCTACAGAGGCACTGTCATAATTACGAATAAAATCCAGAGAACCTTTGCGTTCACCCTAAATGTGAAAAAAATTATATATATATATATATAACATATTAATTCTTCATATCATTCACTACATACAGTAGTTGATGAAATAAAGTGAAATATTATGAGGCTTTGAAAAAGACATCATTAAAACAGTACCTACTGAAAACTGGAAACAGAACACATTTGAGCAATTATCAAAACATTACAGTAAAACTGGAAATTTGAAAAAACTCTCACCTCAGTTACATATTTAGTGGCATCCTCCAGATTGAGTTTGTGGAAGGCCCCAAAGATTGGGTCTTTGTGCTTTCTGGCATCGCTTTTCAGTAGTAGCCAGCAGACATACTTGTCTTCAAAATAGTTCCAACTAAGAAAGAGAGAGAGAGAGAGAGAGACTGAGTAAAAGTTCTCAAACACAAATTATATGTTTGTTTTTTCCTAAATTTAAATGCTCACTGTCTGGTCCACCAGTTGTCTCCCATTCGGCCACAGATGTCCTCCATTGCTGTCAGTATGTGTTCAAAAGCCTATAGACACACACACACACAATGATATCACCCTTATTGTATTTCATTATTTGATGTTGACAGTTACCACTACTTAGATGTTGTCCATTAAGCTGAAACTGCGCATATGAACTAAATCATATTTGCAGTGTGGAAATTATCCATAATAAGCCAGTGTGTCATGCAGGCTGTACTGTAGTAGAGACGCTAGCAGTAGGGAGTGAGGGTAGTTATTTAGGCTACATCATTTCTCAAAAATGAGGCGAGTCGATATTTGTAATAGCCTAATTATTTAGATTTTCAGATGCAAAGTTGTTTTGTTTTATAAGTTGTTAGGTTGGGTTGCAAAGCGCAAAAAAAGCGTTACATTTTTCTTGACAACATTTAAGCTCATTTACAGATATTTTTACATTGTACTCTGTCAGCTGTTTAGAATCAGATTCGGAACAAGCGATGAGAGAGAGAGAGAGAGACTGAGTAAAAGTTCTCAAACACAAATTATATGTTTGTTTTTTCCTAAATTTAAATGCTCACTGTCTGGTCCACCAGTTGTCTCCCATTCGGCCACAGATGTCCTCCATTGCTGTCAGTATGTGTTCAAAAGCCTATAGACACACACACACACAATGGTATCACCCTTATTGTATTTCATTATTTGATGTTGACAGTTACCACTACTTAGATGTTGTCCATTTAGCTGAAACTGCGCATATGAACTAAATCATATTTGCAGTGTGGAAATTATCCATAATAAGCCAGTGTGTCATGCAGGCTGTACTGTAGTAGAGACGCTAGCAGTAGGGAGTGAGGGTAGTTATTTAGGCTACATCATTTCTCAAAAATGAGGCGAGTCGATATTTGTAATAGCCTAATTATTTAGATTTTCAGATGCAAAGTTGTTTTGTTTTATAAGTTGTTAGGTTGGGTTGCAAAGCGCAAAAAAAGCGTTACATTTTTCTTGACAACATTTAAGCTCATTTACAGATATTTTTACATTGTACTCTGTCAGCTGTTTAGAATCAGATTCGGAACAAGCGATGTCCGATTCAGGGATGAATGACTCATTTGAATCAGTTCTTTTTAATGAATTGGTTGAACCGGTCTGAATCATGAACGTCGATTAAATGTAAGGAGTTTGAATTTGAATTGTTCGAAGCGGTTCCATGGCTCACTCATGCACATGTTCAACTGAATCTGTTGGTCGGTTTCTCGCGCTTCCAAACTTCCTCGCGCATTCAGACATACTCTACTAGCAGTACTTTGCCAGTGAATGAGATTAATGGAAAAACAACTAAATGTTTACTCCACAAGCCAAAAGAAAATGTGCTCACAAAGACATATTCAGGTGAGGTCACATCACAGAATTACTCCCTTAGTATATAAGTATATGGCCACAAAATGCATTTTAAAGTTGTTTAAGGGAGAAGCACTGAATATTATTGTTTGAGAATGTTGTAGTCCTGTAAAGATTTCCTTTTTTTTGTCCTGACAGTATAGCAGTTGGTTAAGGTCACATTATTTAATATCATATCATTATTACTTGATTTTTTTAATAGGTTTTGTTATTATAAACAAATTAAAAAACAAAGTTATTGTTATGCAAATAGGGAATCATTAATGTTAAAAAAAAAAAGTAGAGGGATAAACTGTTATGAGTGTTTTTACCCTGTTGTTCATTTTTCCATTGAGAGTCAGATCCGAATGAGTTGCCTAGCTGAAACTGCGCATATGAACTAAATCATATTTGCAGTGTGGAAATTATCCATAATAAGCCAGTGTGTCATGCAGGCTGTACTGTAGTAGAGACGCTAGCAGTAGGGAGTGAGGGTAGTTATTTAGGCTACATCATTTCTCAAAAATGAGGCGAGTCGATATTTGTAATAGCCTAATTATTTAGATTTTCAGATGCAAAGTTGTTTTGTTTTATAAGTTGTTAGGTTGGGTTGCAAAGCGCAAAAAAAGCGTTACATTTTTCTTGACAACATTTAAGCTCATTTACAGATATTTTTACATTGTACTCTGTCAGCTGTTTAGAATCAGATTCGGAACAAGCGATGTCCGATTCAGGGATGAATGACTCATTTGAATCAGTTCTTTTTAATGAATTGGTTGAACCGGTCTGAATCATGAACGTCGATTAAATGTAAGGAGTTTGAATTTGAATTGTTCGAAGCGGTTCCATGGCTCACTCATGCACATGTTCAACTGAATCTGTTGGTCGGTTTCTCGCGCTTCCAAACTTCCTCGCGCATTCAGACATACTCTACTAGCAGTACTTTGCCAGTGAATGAGATTAATGGAAAAACAACTAAATGTTTACTCCACAAGCCAAAAGAAAATGTGCTCACAAAGACATATTCAGGTGAGGTCACATCACAGAATTACTCCCTTAGTATATAAGTATATGGCCACAAAATGCATTTTAAAGTTGTTTAAGGGAGAAGCACTGAATATTATTGTTTGAGAATGTTGTAGTCCTGTAAAGATTTCCTTTTTTTTGTCCTGACAGTATAGCAGTTGGTTAAGGTCACATTATTTAATATCATATCATTATTACTTTATTTTTTTAATAGGTTTTGTTATTATAAACAAATTAAAAAACAAAGTTATTGTTATGCAAATAGGGAATCATTAATGTTAAAAAAAAAAAAAAAGTAGAGGGATAAACTCATGAGTGTTTTTACCCTGTTGTTCATTTTTCCATTAAGAGTCAGATCCGAATGAGTTGCCTTTTTAACCTTCAGCCATTGAACCAGTGGTTTCATGGTGATCCCCTACAAAAATAATATACACAGTGACTTCAAGTTAGCCAAACCATGTCCGTCATCAGATGAGGACAACTGAGAACATCACAAAATGCCCACTTTTATAAGTTTATAATCACAGGCCTTATGAATTCAAGTGACATCCATGCTTTTGCAACAGATCCATTATGGTATGCACTAGTTATGGTCAGAATGAGTGGGTCACACCTGAAGAATGACAGTGAAATACACCACAATGAGTGTGGTACCAAGCATCAGATTCTTCTCTGGGATCTTCTTCTCATCTAAAAGGGCCGCGAGTCCATACGCCACTGCTCCTCGCAGGCCACCGTAGGCCATTACAAACTGGTCTGTGATGTCGATAGGAATCAGACGAGACTGATTCAAGATCCAGTTGAGGAAGAAAACACCTGCATGTAAAGAAATCCACAACTGACGTCAGTTTTCATGAACATGAACAGAGTTTTAGGAAGCATTTACAAGGAATTCATGATTTTAACTAACCAATGAACCTGAATATAACGACAAAGAAGATAGTGAGAAGGATGAAGCCAGTGTTCCAAACCCAGATGTTTTTATCAATGGCTGAAACTCCCAGGAAGACGAAGATCATGGTCTCTGAGCCGTTGGCCATCACCTTCAGAGTGTAACGTAACGTTGTGACAGATTTTTCATCCATGTTGGCATTGATGTACTTCTGACAGCAGACACCACAGAAAGTGATCCTGTCACAGTCAATGATTATTGTAAACAATGACTATTGTAAACAAATGGTTTACATTAATTTACTAATTTTTAAATCTAATTATTTTTATGCATTTATCAGGAAAGCGTTGATTTCTTAAGAAGCTCTTACGAAAGTATCGCAGAGAGTGAGAGCATCTCAGCCGTCAGATAAGACAAGTAGCCAAGCACAATGATGAAGCCGGCTTCGATGACCTGGACGTTCTTGGTGATCCTGGTCAGCATGGATATCAGAATGGCAAACACAACACCAAGAAAGGAGCCTCCAAACGCCACAACAAAGAACGAAACTAGGAGAGCAAAAAATGTGTTGTGAGGGGCTGTCAAAAGGGGTTATTATCATTAAATAAAACTAAAACCATAACAAAATCATTACTTAAAATAATAAATAAAACTTCAACATTTTATTTCAGCTAGAGGCCAAGGTAACATTTCACATTTTGTTTAAGTTAAAGGGGTGGTTCACTGGGTTTTTTCTAGGCTTGATTGTGTTTATGGGGTGCAGTCTAACATGTGTTAATGCTTTGTTTTTTAACATAATTACATTTTTCACATAATTTACCTTTATTCCACACCTCTCTATCCCTTTTCTGAGAAACGGGCTGATCATTTCCTTCTTTTATGAAGCCCCTCCCTCAGAAATAGGCGATGGGCTCTGATTGGTTAGCTAGCCCAGTGTGTTGTGATTGGCTAAACCGCCTCTAGTGTGCGTCTAAACATACCACCCCTCACCTCAGCGGCATGTGATCCGGCTGTATTGTAAACAACTGCATCATTAATATCGCTTATCAGTTTGAGCCCGATTGAGAAGCAGAGGATATTATTGAAGAGGATCGTGCAGAACCTGTGCAAGCATGGCTTTTAATGGTAGGCCGATGTTTTTTGTTTGTTGTTGTCTCATACTTTTAGATATGCTGCTATGCTACTGCTTATGTTAGCTTTTAATATACAGTTTTATCCTGATTAAAGCTTTAATACAGTAAGGCAACTGCACGCGCATCCATGTTTAAGGCTTCTCAGAGCTATGTGAAAATAAGCATATAATTGTTATGCTCAAACAACAACATTAGACACTAACTAACGTTAAAAAAGTGAAATCGCAATGAACCACCCCTTTAAAGTCAGCGTGAAATGTAAGTTGCTGCCAACTTCAGTATTGTGATGTATTTCCAACTGAAACAGAATATTGAATAGAGGGTGGGGATTTACAGTGGGGCAAAAAAGTATTTAGTCAGCCACCAATTGTGCAAGTTCACACTGCGCCGCCAGGGACTTAAATCCTGCAGTGCCAGACGTGTCCCCCTGCTTAAGCCAGTACATGTCCAGGCCTGTCTGAAGTTTGCTAGAGAGCATTTGGATGATCCAGAAGAGGATTGGGAGAATGTCATATGGTCAGATGAAACCAAAATAGAACTTTTTGGTAAAAACTCAACTTGAGGAGAAAGAATGCTGAGTTGCATCCAAAGAACACCATACCTACTGTGAAGCATGGGGGTGGAAGCATCATGCTTTGGGGCTGTTTTTCTGCAAAGGGACCAGGACGACTGATCCGTGTAAACGAAAGAATGAATGGGGCCATGTATCGTGAGATTTTGAGTGAAAACCTCCTTCCATTAGCAAGGGCATTGAAGATGAAACGTGGCTGGGTTTTTCAGCATGACAATGATCCCAAACACACCGCCCGGGCAACGAATGAGTGGCTTCGTAAGAAGCATTTCAAGGTCCTGTAGTGGCTTACCCAGTCTCCAGATCTCAACCCCATAGAAAATCTTTGGAGGGAGTTGAAAATCCGTGTTGCCCAGCGACAGCCCCTAAACATTACTGCTCTAGAGGAGATCTACATGGAGGAATGGGCCAAAATACCAGCAACAGTGTGTGAAAACCTTGTGAAGACTTACAGAAAACGTTTGACCTCTGTCATTGCCAACAAAGGGTATATAACAAAGTATTGAGATGAAATTTTGTTATTGACCAAATAGTTATTTTCCACCATAATTTGCAAATAAATTATAAAAAAATCCTACAATGTGATTTTCAGGATTTTTTTTTCTCATTTTGTCTCTCATAGTTGAGGTATACCTATGATGAAAATTACAGGCCTCTCTCATCTTTTTAAGTGGGAGAACTTGCACAATTGGTGGCTGACTAAATACTTTTTTTCCCCACTGTATTTTAGCGCACATCCTCTCATTCGTAGCAAACTAACGGTTAGAGGGGAGTGGTCAAGGATTTTCTGGTCAAACTGATGTCATCAGAGAAGGAATGTCATTCCAGAGCGAAAGCAAATATTCAGATTTTGATTAAAGATTACCAAGACAATTTTTTTTATAGTGTATTAACTTGCATTGATTAATTGTTCACCTCCAGACTAGCAATGTGAGCTAAAAGTAAATAATGTCAATTTTGATTTCATGTGGACCTTAAGTTGAAATACTAAAATAACCAAAACTAAAACTTAATAAAACTAAATTGATTAAAAACGAAACAAAACAAAAAAAAAGCACAATAAAATGACTAAAACTTGAACTATAATTAAAGTAAAAATATATTTAAGTGAAGTGACATGTGGCGACCCATACTCGGAATTAGTTTGCATTTATCCCATCCAAAGTGCACACGCACAGCAGTGAACACACACAGCAGTGAACACACACACGGAGCAGTGGGCAGCCATTTTTTGCTGCGGCGCCCGGGGAGCAGCCTTGCTCAAGGGCACCTCAGTCATGGGAGAGAGCGCTGTACATTCACTCCCCCCACCTACAATCCCTGCTGGTACGAGACTCGAACCCGCAACCTTTGGGTTACAAGTTCGACTCTCTAACCATTAGGCCACGACTTCCCTGTCATGGCCTAAATAATATACTTAAAATTGTAAATATAATAGTAAAATCTAATCTAATCTAAGTATAATAGTATACCAGTGCTACTAAAATAACACTGGTGTCAATTGGCTCAATTTGTGAACAGGCATGACAAAGTGTTTATTAGGGAACAGCAGAAAATAGAATTTCCACTAGTGATCTAAGAGTTATGCACCCCATTGTCTGTGCCCATACCTATTCCTTTGATAATCTCTGCGGCGTTGATTTTCGGGCCTCCCAGAGACACGAATGCATCAAACACATTATAAAGCACCTGTAGCAGACAGAACAAGAGAGAGAGAGATAATATTAGATGGATGTAATAGCCATCAAATAATATTATCAAATATTTACTTGACATTCAAGTACATTTTTAAATGAAAATGCCATGATTCCTTTAAGAGTTGTTGAGAAAAACTGAGACTCACCACTGTGACTCCATCATTGAGCAGGGACTCTCCAAATACCAGGATGTATAGCACTTCATTCACATGCACTTCCTCAAACACGGCAATCACTGCCACAGGGTCCACGGCAGATATCAGAGCACCAAACAACAGGAACTGCAGAGGGCCGATGTTCAAGTTCCCTGAGGTTTAGTGAAACTGTTAGTAACTGAAACTTGTGTAAGTTTCTTATGCTCACCAAGACTGCGTTTATTCATTTATTTGGTCAAAAATACAGTAAAAACAGTAATATTGTGAATATTATTACCATTTAAAGTGTTACGTCCCAGGACTTATGAATTTGTGTTTCGTAATCATGGTGTATGTCATTCATTGATGTGCTGCCAGTGGACCCAACGGCCTGCTGGGAGTTGTAGTTTTTGTTGTATGTTTTGTCCTATTTTCTGTGCTCTTCCCTGTCCTAATCTAGGTGACTGGACCTACTAGCTGCTCCTCGTCAATGTCAAGAGGAACCAGTATTTAAGCAGAACAAGAGAGTGAGCTATTAAGATATTCTGACTGTCTGTCTAAACTTTTAAACTGTGTCAAGCTAATCATGATAGTAACATCTATCTAATCTATTTATCTAAAGTTTTAAACTTAAAGCTTTTACAGCTGCTTTAAACTTTCAGGCTAGGCTTTCTCAAGCCAACTTAAAGTTTGTCTTGACAAACTTTTTTTATCTAGTTTTAAAGTGTTACTTCCCTTTTGCCCCTAGAAATATAATTGGGAACGTAATAGTGTTCTATTCAAATTTATATTAAAATGTAGCTTATTCATGTGATTCAAAGCTGAATGTTCAGCAGCCATTACTCCAGTCTTCAGTGTCATATGATCATTAAGTAAATGTCATTGTAAAACTCAGATTTACCCATTGCACCCCCTTCATAGCAGGCCCATAGTGCAATGCCCACTGTGCCCGCATTCCAGCATGTTCCAATAATGGCATGGATAAGAATGGCACCCAGGTTGCTGAAGAATAGTTTGTTTGGCATGCAGTAACTTGCATCCAAGATGATCTGGGGAAGCAAGTAGTAGAAGAAGTTGGTGGGGATCAGTTTGAAAGTCTGCGCCTTGTCTGCTCCCCAGACGATTCCTCCCAAAATAAAGCCCAGCATGATGAGCAGACTACTCTCTGGGAACACACTGGTGACACTGTGGTTCAGCTCACACACTAAAAAGAGAAGACAGATGATGACTGAGTTTTAGCAGTCATTATTCAGGCTTTAGTTTCACATTGTCCTAATATGCTGATTTAGTCCGTTTCCACTGCTGTCACGTTTGATCAATTTAATGTGTCCATGATGAATAAAAGTATAATTTCTTTAAAAAAGAAACAAAAATACATCTTACTGATCCCAGACTTTTGAAGAATAGTGTATGTCAAACATCATTCTTCAGCTTTTGAGTTTATAATACGTTTCAGCATTTTAATTTCGTAAGTCACATTTAATTATATGAACCGCATTAAAACTGTATTTTGTTTCTAATTTATATGCACATTACAACCCAGACTTTCAGTCTTATATATTGTGTAAAATATTGTGTATTTTGGATAAATTGCTAGATATAATTAATCTTACCAAGACAAATGAGTCATTTAATCCATGTCAAAAAATGTCCCCCTCAGAATGTCCAACTCAGTACTTCGATACTCAACTTTGATGTATCAGAAATGACAATGTCGAAATTCTCATGACTTTAAGAAAAGTAACAAAATGTGATGCAAGTCATCGTTTGAAGAGAAACTAGTGAGAGACTGAGAAGTGTAAAAGTTCACAGCTCCAAAATTGCCTGTGACTGAAGGAACATTATTTATAAACACATTAAGCTCTCTTTGTGAAATGGACAAACAATTGAAACTCTTTAGTTCACAGGAACTTTGTGTTTCATGTGATTCATTTAACATCAGTTACTTAAGCTAAAAAATGAAGCTGTGCCACTGATATTGATGTTTCGTCGTCATCTGCAGGAAAGGAAGTTCGAGATGGATGGACCGCTCATCCTGCTCAATGTTTAAGGTAAGCTAGTTAATATAGTGAGGCTTAACATATTTTCTATCTTGTGAACCAATCTATCAATCTTATTGGATTGTTTGTATCATCTTGAAGGAGTGGACGAGATGAGAAATGTTTGATCTGAGCACAGTTTGAGACTTTAGTGAGATCTTGTCTGTATACTTTAATAGACACGTAGGATTACTGGGGTCATTTTATTAAGTGAAAAATCTGAGAAGCAGAATATTTAAGCAAAACACTTTATTTGCTCTCAATTTGCTCATATTTCTAAGTAAGAGAAACGAGTCCTTTCCTATTGGATGACTTGCTGGATTATTTCAGACAGCATTTAAAAGCTTTGTCATGCTTTCATCTCAATGAGATTATACATTTGAATGCCCACAATTATAGAACTTTACAGTGTCTTTGTAGCATGTAAATGATATTATGCAACAGGTTTATTTCACTTTGATCTGTGTTATTTTATCATGGTCTGTTCAAACGTGTAATATTTTAAAGCTGCAATTGTTCAGCCAACCAACAATTACAGACTACACTATTAGATTTTTATGTGGAATATGTGTTTACTCTTGGGTTTGGGGTAGTTAAATAGTTTATATCCCGCCGACTGTGTGATTGGGCAATAAAGGCTGTAATGCCTAACAAACAGAGCTGGCCTAAACTAGTAAACTGGTGTGCACCTTGTTGACCCTCTGTTGTATGTTACACCCGATATCAAAAAACATCAGGAAAGTTACAGCTTCAGGGGGACGTTCATGTCCATTATGCTGTGGGTGACCTTGACTTAATGTTTTTACGAGTGAGCTAAAATTATTTAACAATTGAGAGTATTAAAATAGTAGCATGTATCTTTTATGGAAGTCTTAAGTAATTATTGATGTAGTTTTTTTATATCTTTGCAATCAGTACCGTCGACTTGTACAGTGAGTATAACTGCATACCTCGGCAATAGAATCAACGGTCAACATTCAAGAGTATGTCGTACATCAAGTCCTGGTATTGCGAATACATTACAGCCTCTTTGATGCATGTTGCAATGCACAGGGGTGACTTTCTCTAAGGGACACAATTATTATCTTTTTAAATTTCTGTCAGAATTATACACATCTATCAACTGTAAATAATGATTTTAATAAGTAAAAGATAGCTATTGTTATATTTTAGCTATTTCAAGTTTTTTAATATAAATTGTGGAAAGATGGGAAATTTTATGTACAGTATATATCCCAGTAATCCTACATATTGTAATTGGTTATTTTATTGGATATTTTGGTGTTTTAGTGGGTGTTTTTTTAAGTGTGTATTGGTTGTGGTTTACTTCAATTCGTTAAATCTGAAAATGAACTTTATACTACAGTCTGATTTTGACTATCATGCACTAAAGCTGACCTGACACTGTGCCTTTGAGGAAAGTCAAAGATTCAGGCGGCCCATTAATTATTTAATATAGTACATTATTAACTAGCAGTAAGGCATTGTTTCAGCACTGTAATTTATCAGAGTAGATCTCTCCAGCTTTGTCCATTTCCAGTGATGTGTTACAGATCATGTCCTGGAACTAAATAGAAATGATATACCTCATTTGCTTCTTGCCAACAGCCAATTAACAGAGGCTGTGAGTTTATGAACATGGGATCTTTGCGCACACAGAATTTGGATGTAAAACTGCAGGTCACATTGACATGAAACACAAAGAAATACAGTAAGCAATCACCTTCAGACTTTAACATTAGGCTGTCAATTTATGAAACATTTGAATCCAATTAATTGCATGACATTCACAATTTATTTATTTATTAACTGTATTTGCCAAAACAAAACAAACTAAATTAATTAATTATTGAAAAGACATTTTAAAAAGTATCTTTAGCAGTCAGCCTATATTGTTTGTTTGCTTCTTTAATTATTTATTTATTTTAAGCCTGTCATTGACCTACAGTGCAGCAATAGATTTTGCAATTGAATTTGTGAAACTAAAAATAAATAAATAAATTGATTGGCTTATTATTTTTCTTGAGGTCTTATGACAAACAAGATAAACCAGATTTTACTTGACTTTCAAATGCAGAATTGCAGATGTCTAAATAAAGTTCATTTTACAATAAAATACTGCTTTATTTATTTTTTTACTTAAAGAGTTGTTTAATTAGAAATGCGTTACTTGATGTTTCTTTTTAATTATTTGTGAAATTTACCAGTAATTTCTGAGATTGTTTTTTGTTTTCTTTTTATCAGTGTGTGAAATGTACTAAGAACTTTTAGACCACACATACAATGGCAAATGAAGTTGTTGTTTTGTTTAATGCTAATGCATCTTTGCTTTCCATTTTTAAAGCTTGTCTAAACTTGCTCATCACCTTGAACTCAACCTTCATAACACTGTGCTCTTTGTATTCTATGCTAATTCTCGTCCACTCTGTCTCCTGTTAAATCTCCATTGACTCTTAAACAGGTCAGGTCACTTGCCGTCTTTTTATGCCAGTGCCAAAAATCATTGATGTAAGCATTCAGTCTGTAGTACCTCCATGAAGCCTGTAGGTGGCATGCATAAATACTACTTTATTATGAAACGGATTCCTCAGACAACTGAGTAACTGTTCGGTTCGGATGAGTCCACCTTCCAAATACTGCCTAATTTTTATATAAAAAAAGAAGCGTAGCTAAAGAAAGCTGGCCGGCTTTATTCATTGTGCAGTGTTCTTTGCGGCAGCATTTTATAGAAAAAAAATTGATTTAGATCAAATTTACTGATAACTAATATAAGGATTAAAAGAAAAGTATCTTGTATTTGTCAGGACTGCATTTAGTAGGCTATTTTGATTGGAAGTGCTTTAGTCTGGCGAAATATGACTCTCGAGAGATGGCCTGTAATCCGATATTAAAGATATCAGATAACCTATGTGATTCCCATTCAATAATAAGCTGTCAGATGTGCACATTCACTGCACAGATTCATTCGGTGAGAGTAAATTTTACCTTCTAAATTTGGGCAAACATGGCAATATCATGATTTTTTTTAAGTGTGTATTGGTTGTGGTTTACTTCAATTCGTTAAATCTGAAAATGAACTTTATACTACAGTCTGATTTTGACTATCATGCACTAAAGCTGACCTGACACTGTGCCTTTGAGGAAAGTCAAAGATTCAGGTGGCCCATTAATTATTTAATGTAGTACATTATTAACTAGCAGTAAGGCATTGTTTCAGCACTGTAATTTATCAGAGTAGATCTCTCCAGCTTTGTCCATTTCCAGTGATGTGTTACAGATCATGTCCTGGAACTAAATAGAAATGATATACCTCATTTGCTTCTTGCCAACAGCCAATTAACAGAGGCTGTGAGTTTATGAACATGGGATCTTTGCGCACACAGAATTTGGATGTAAAACTGCAGGTCACATTGACATGAAACACAAAGAAATACAGTAAGCAATCACCTTCAGACTTTAACATTAGGCTGTCAATTTATGAAACATTTGAATCCAATTAATTGCATGACATTCACAATTTATTTATTTATTAACTGTATTTGCCAAAACAAAACAAACTAAATTAATTAATTATTGAAAAGACATTTTAAAAAGTATCTTTAGCAGTCAGCCTATATTGTTTGTTTGCTTCTTTAATTATTTATTTATTTTAAGCCTGTCATTGACCTACAGTGCAGCAATAGATTTTGCAATTGAATTTGTGAAACTAAAAATAAATAAATAAATTGATTGGCTTATTATTTTTCTTGAGGTCTTATGACAAACAAGATAAACCAGATTTTACTTGACTTTCAAATGCAGAATTGCAGATGTCTAAATAAAGTTCATTTTACAATAAAATACTGCTTTATTTATTTTTTTACTTAAAGAGTTGTTTAATTAGAAATGCGTTACTTGATGTTTCTTTTTAATTATTTGTGAAATTTACCAGTAATTTCTGAGATTGTTTTTTGTTTTCTTTTTATCAGTGTGTGAAATGTACTAAGAACTTTTAGACCACACATACAATGGCAAATGAAGTTGTTGTTTTGTTTAATGCTAATGCATCTTTGCTTTCCATTTTTAAAGCTTGTCTAAACTTGCTCATCACCTTGAACTCAACCTTCATAACACTGTGCTCTTTGTATTCTATGCTAATTCTCGTCCACTCTGTCTCCTGTTAAATCTCCATTGACTCTTAAACAGGTCA